ACAAAGATCTTGTTTTGCAGATAAAGAATAAATTTTCATACATCATTGAACTCATGTATTTACTTGGGATTTGAACTCTGACCTCTTGTTGGAAGCCCATAGCTCTTAACCACTCTGTACTTCCCTCAAGATGTTCTTTCTATAATTTCCCAGTTGAGTTTTCAACTCCTGGTTTCTTCTCTTCTCCCTTGTCTCACTGTAAGTGTCTGTCACACTTGCATCTGCCCTGAGAGATAGGATACCCTTCTTAATCTAGGCTAAATAAAATAAGGGTGATGCCTTAGTCCACTTTCTGTTGCTATAACAGAATATCTGAGATTGCATATTTAATAAAGAAAATGGGTTTATTGAGGCTGTGAAGTCCAAGCCCATGTTGCCAGCATCTGCTCAGTTTCTGGTGATGGCCTCAACTTACACTGGAAAGCAGAAAGGATATAGACACATGAAGAAGAGACACATGTGGGGGTATATTTACTTTCTAATTATCCCACTCTTGCTGTGACTAATCTGCTCCCGTGGGAACAGGAATTTATGCATGAATGAGATTACTCCATTCCCTCACGATCTGAACACCTTACTGGTCCCCAGCTCTGAAAGTTGCTACACTGCGGAACAAGCCCCTTCATGAGTTTTAATGGAGGCAAGCCCTAGCAGGTGGTCTCACAGATAGAGATATCAAAAGGGAAGCATTGAGAAAGGGATGACAAGCTATATTTTAAACATGTTGAATTTCGGCTGACCACTGCAAAACATTTTGCAATTTTCATTTCAACAAGTGTCTTACCAGAAATGTGATAGTGATTCTTAGGAAGGATTTGACAAACCTAATGTTTAGCAGATTTGCCGCAATTTCTATAAGTTCAAATGGAGGCATTTTCTGGCAGTGCACTTGGCTCTTCAAAGGAGGGTGCATTATTTCACTTGAAGTACAGTAACAATGGAGTTTTTGAGGACAGTAACATTCCTTCTAATAAAAAAAATTAAATAAATAAAAGAAAAAGATGATTGAAGTCTTCTCTGCTGTATTTCATATACCTCAGGGTGTTTGTGAAAAGACAATAATCAAGAAGGTATTCACAGAACATGTTCAGGTCCACAAAAACTTTAAAGTCAGTCTGGGAACTCACTATTTTTCTGTTTATTTGAATTATAGACCTAGTGAGCTTTTGAAGTTTGGTATGTTAAAAGAACAAAAAGGAACAATTTTGCATGAATTTTTAATCAATTCAGTTCAGAACCCTTTTAGTATGAGGAGTACTGCCTCTGGAAGACATCCAGAAAACCTGACTTTGTGGGGAGCCTCTATGTTTTTGTTTTGGAACAACTTTGTGGAATTAATAACATTATTTAAATGATAAAGAGTTGTAAAAAACCTAGAGGTCCAACAAACAAGAGGTTGATCATGTATAGTATACAAGCTTCCTAATGTATTATATATATATTATTTTTTTTGACAGGCAGAGTGGACAGTGAGAGAGAGAGACAGAGAGAAAGGTCTTCCTTTGCCGTTGGTTCACCCTCCAATGGCCGCTGCGGCCGGCGTGCTGCAGCCAGCACACCGCGCTGATCTGATGGCAGGAGCCAGGTACTTATTCTGGTCTCCCATGGGGTGCAGGGCCCAAGCACTTGGGCCATCCTCCACTGCACTCCCTGGCCACAGCAGAGAGCTGGCCTGGAAGAGGGGCAACTGGGACAGAATCCGGCGCCCCGACTGGGACTAGAACCTGATGTGCCGGTGCCGCAAGGCAGAGGATTAGCCTAGTGAGCCGCGGCGCTGGCCCATAATGTATTATATATATTAAAATAACTATGCCCTGACTGTTAATGAACAACTTAATACATTATCCCTCTTAGTAGTTTTTTTGTCTGTTCTACCTAATATGACTGGTTTAATTCTGTAATTAATACACAGTTATTCTTAAGTGTTGAAAATTAACTGAAATGTGATCCCTGTTAAACATAAGAGTGGGAATAAGAGAGGGAAGAGATGTACAATTTGGGACATGCTCAAGCTGACTTGCCCCTAATGGTAGAGTTAGAAACATACCAGGGGATTCCAATTCAATCCCATCAAGGTGGCATGTACCAATGCCATCTCACTAGTCCAAGTGATCAATTTCAGTTCACAATTGATCATAATGAAAGGACTAAGAGTCAAAGGGAGCACATAAACAAGTCTAGTACCTGCTAACACTAACCGATAGAATAAATAAAGGGGAGAGTGATCCAACATGGGAAGTGAGATACTCAGCAGACTCATAGAATGGCAGATGTCCTAAATAGCACTCTGGCCTCAGAATCAGCCCTAAAGGCATTTGGATCTGGCTGAAAAGCCCATGAGAGTATTTCAGGCATGGAAAGCCAAGACACTCTGGCAAAAGATCTCTGTGAGTGAGATCCCAGTGGAAAGAACAGGTCTTCAAAGAAGGAGGTACCTTTCTCTGAAGGGAGGAGAGAACCTCCACTTTGACTATGACCTTGTCTAAACAAGATAAGAGTCGGAGAACTCAGAGGGCTTCCATAGCCTTGGAAACTCATGACTGGAGCATAGGGAGATTACTGATGCCATAGACAGGAGTGTCAATTGGTAAAGTCAACAACAGGAGTCACTGTGCACTTACTCCTCATGTAGGATCTCTGTCCTTAATGTGCTGTGCATTGAGATTTAATGCTATAACGAGTACTCAAACAATATATTTCACTTTGTGTTTCTATGGGGGTACAAACTGTTGAAATCTTTACTTAATGCATACTAAACTGATCTGTAAACAACAAAGAAAAGATAAAAAGAAATTATCTATTCCCAACTTGACTCTCACTGGGATTAAACATGACAATAGGTCTGATCTGATTTCAGCATCATTTAAAAAAATCATCTATTATTTTTCACTTTATGTTTCTGTGTGGGAGCAAACTGTTGAAATCCTTACTTAATGTATACTAAGCTGACCTTCTGTATATTAAGATAATCGAAAATGAATCTTGATGTGAATGGAAAGGGAGAGGGAGTGGGAAAGGGGAAGGTTGTGGGTGGGAGGGACGGTATGGGGGGAAGCCATTGTAATCCATAAATCGTACTTTGGAAATTTATATTCATTAAATAAAAGTTAAAAAAAAACAAAAACAAAAACAAAAAAAATAACTATGCCACCAATGTGACTACATCTAGAAATATTTATATTATAGTATAAGGGAAAGAGATGCTCTATTGTCTTGTGAAAATGCAAATGGACATGCAATTGACTTCAAATGGGGTGAGAGATTATAAATAACTAAAAAGTTATTTCCTTGTTTTTGTTACAAATCACAGAAAATGTCAAGAACTTCTACAAGACCAAGAAGGCTTTTATCACCTAAATGTGATCAAATCACCCTCTTCAAAAAAAAAACAAGCCATCAACTTTTCACCTGCTGCAAATATCACATTACTCTGTCCTTCTCTCAGGAGCTAAGCTTCCATGTTTCTTTTACCATCTCATTTTGTGTTTTCTTGTACATGTATTGGAAACTGTCTTCCTCCGGGTCACTTCTTTGAAATATTCACAACAAAGTAAGAAAAAACCAGTTTTCAGTATTTAGCTCAGCACTTGATATTTTGGCACACCTTTCTTTACCTTGCAATTACTGGCTTTAAGTTCTCTATTTTCTTTGTAGTTTCCTTTTCAGCCCCCTGTCCTCTATCTACTTAAATTTTACTATTCCTTTAGTACTAATATTGTTTTTAGATTTCAATATCCTTTTACAGGTTATCTCTTAATGAGCTTATTCACACTTGTACATGTTCTATAAGCTAGCAAGTCCTAAATCTAGCCTTCATCTCTGTAGATCCTATATTAGTTATTTATGGTGGTATAACAAATTACCCCAAAACATAATGACTTAAACCAGGAGACATTCATTATCTCACAGGTGCAGTTTCTCTGGATTCTTTGCTTCCTAATCTTGTGTAAGGCTGCAGGTAGATGTCAGCTCATGGCCCTCAGTCTTACCTGGGGACTCAAGTGGGAATCACTTACCCAGAGATTGTAGAATCAGTTCCTTTCTTTGCAAATACTTGAATTAAAACTTAGTTCTTTACTCATTCTTGACAGAAGCCACTTTCAGTGCCTTTTCATGTGGGCTGAGGTTAAAATATGAGAGATTGCTTAATCAAAGCGTGCAAGAAATTGATAGCAATAGACAGAGTAAACTGGCAAGACCGGATTCATAATATTTTGCAACCTATTCAAGAAAGAAACATCTCAATGTTTCCAAATCTGCTAATCATAAGCAAATTACTCAAGAAGAGGGTATTACATTAACCTCAAATACTTAGAGGTAGAGATCACTGGGGTCCATCATAACAACTGCCTAACATACGTAACTAAACCAGATAATGCACTTTTCAATTGTGCCTAGAGGTACAAGTGCCATAAGCAAATGCCACACACAGTAACCTGAACACATCTTTTTCTTTTCCTCAAAGAAAATTCATTTCCATCTTTTTAGTTGTTGGTACCATTATTCATCAACATTTTTAAAAATATTTATTTATATTTTTATTTATTTGAAAGAGTTGCAGAGAGAGAGAGAGAGAGAGAGAGAGAGAGAGAAATCAGGAAGAGAGATCCACTAGTTTACTCCCCAGATAGCTGCAACAGCCAGGGCTGTGCCAGGCCAAAGCCAGGAGCCAGGAGCTTCTTCCAGGTCTCCACATGGGTGGCAGGGGCCCACACTTTCTAGGCCATCTTCCACTGGTTTTCCCAGACCATTAGCAAGCAGCTGGAACATGAGAAAGGGAGCAGCAGAGATAAAAACTGGCCCCCTTATGGGATGGTGGAATCATAGGTACTGCTTTACTTGCTTTGTCACACTGCCAGCCCCACATTAACTTTTTAAAATAAGAAACCTAGATATATTTATTCTTCTTTATCAACATTCTTTAGTTGCTACCTCTTACTAATCCTAATTTCTAAATAATTATTACATCTGTCTCCCTATATATTTCTATCTTTTTTTCCAGATACATCAGACCAATGATACATCTCTTCAGAATTCAATCTGATGAACTATGCAACCATCATAGTATAATATATTTATATCTTAAACTATCATAATCTCTAATCAATGTCACTACTATGGCTTTCTTTTTTAAAAAAATTTATTTATTTATAAGGCAGTTACAGAAAGGCAGAGGCAGAGAGAGAAAGAAAGGTCTTCCATTCACTGGTTCACTCCCCCAGATGGCTGCAACCAGGATCTAGAAGCTTCTTCTGGGTCCCCCATGTGGGTGCAGGGTCCCAAGCACTTGAGCCATCTTCCACTGATTTCCCAGGTGCATTAGCAAGGAGCTGGACTGGAAGAGGAGCAGCCCGGGCTCGAACCAGTGCCCATATGGAATACCAGCACTGCAGGAAGCAGTGGCTTTTACCCGCTGTGCCACAGTGCCTGCCCCTGCTATGGCTTCTTGAAATACCCTCTTAGTCCAAGCCTTTCCTTCTTCCAGTCTTCATCTCAGCAATGGTGACAATGTCACAATGCTACTTAAAATTCTCAATTAACTTTCAACACTTCAGAGAGATTTCAAGGATACGGATAGTAGGTTAGGGTTAGTAGTTCTACAAATGAACATCCAATAAACTTGTGGTTTTCATAATGCAGGATCCGGAAATTTAAAATCAACAAAACCAACTCGATTGGCAGGGATACATGGAAGTTGAAGGACAAATATTGTGATGGTTACAGTCATCTATTAGTATGATATCCAACTACTAAATAGGATGTAAGTGGAAGTGGTTTAGTGTGGAATCTCAGATATGGGAAATGTAAACTTGAACAGTTGTATTTGTTTATAATAACAGCTACCAAATATTCTTTAAAAATATCAGCTTTTCGGAAAGCTATCCCCTTTGAAGATATTTCCATCTGGTCATATAACTTTCCGGGCATTCTCTTATATTAAAAGTTTCCTATCAGTTCTGAGAAACTCAGACATCTTTGTTCTAACATTTCGATCATCTCTCAGGGCCTCTGTTACCCCACAGGATAGCAACGTAAAAACAAGGAAATAATGACCCTTCTTCCTGGCAGATGTAGTGACCTGCACAGGTTAAGTCTCCTCAGACTGTATGAGAGTCTAGCAACCTGAAATGATGTGGTCTGCTTTGAACAAACCCACTCCTCTTTTTTTTTTTTTTTTTCCCTAATCTAGCTATGGGATAGGAATGACTAAGTGAAAACAAAAAGGCATTTCCTAATCAGCTGTAACATCACTGGTTTTCAAGTATTTCCAAGATGATTATCCACTGCAGCTGAAATTGTCCATCCTTGGCGATACCTTGGAGTTACCTGTGCCTATTTCAGTCTGACTTTAACCATGACTTTAAGGCGTAAGTCACTGGATTCCCCCAAAATTCTTCTCTTACACAAATTTGTTTTAACTGGAACAATTCCCCAGGCTTTAAAAACATTTGATATTTGTTATCCTGACAGCCCTATTCAAAACTGAGATATGAAAAATGATCTATTCATTGGGATGTATGGGAAAGAACTATAAAAACTCTTAAGACTTGGTTTGGCAGAGACATTTTCCCATTCAAAAATGAGTAGTGCTTTTGGCACTTGCTGTGATACTTTGTAGCTGGCAGCTGAATTCTCTTGGCCTCTGCCCAAAACTCTGGACTCAAAAGCTGATCATAAAATCTCTCCTTTAGTTGAAGATAGATTTAAAACTCTTAATGATCATTTACATGTCAAAAATAAGATATCGTATTAAACTAGTTTTGAGACACAATGCCTGTCCAAACTTCTATAATACATTAAGAATAATGTTTTTGAATAATAGTTTGTTACTTGTGTTTTTCTGTAAAAGAATTTATGATAGTTAGGATAGGCTTTAATGCCCATTTTACACTTTCAAAAATTGAGATGTAGTGAGTTCCAGAGCCTGGATCAAAAAAAAGGTGGTTGGGTCTATAGATCTAGACTTAAGCCTGTTCTCTTTCCATTTATATCACATGCTTTTCAATGTATATTTTTACATAATACAGCACAGAAGGACTTGGAATAGTAATCCTTCCTTTAAATAAGGCTGAAAGCAAATTATACAACAGTCTAAACCAATAATGGCTTGGAGATTCATTCACTCCACCTTAGCATTATTTTTTTCATGCTTTACTTGAATATAATTTTCCCACCCACAGTTGATCTATTATTATGAAACGATTGTCTCAAAATATGCACATAAATAAGTATGTCCTGGTACCATAAAACTAGAAGCACCATGTTTGTTTTTCCAAGACCTGTGTTAGCAATGATCCCGTCTCTATAAATCAACTGTCCTCTAACCCATAGCTCCATGCCATGCTCTGGGACCTCCAAATGCGGTCTTTTTTATTTCACAAGGAGGTAGCATGTCTGTTTCCTCCATATCAAAAACCAATAGCATTGACCCACTATCTTTCAATTGGAAGATAATTCTGGCTTAATTCAGTCATGTGAACATTGCTACCTATCATCTTCCATTCTTTTTCTTGTAAAAGTGAGATTAGAAGTTGTTGAGGGAAGAGTCAAATGGAACACAATGTTACAAACTTATTCTTGAGACATAATGTAGGTCCTCAAGTGTGACTTGGTGTGGGATAAAAGGAAGTAATTGTCTAATACATGGCCTAGGCAAGCAAAGTAATGTGACTGAGGCAACATAGCTATTTAAAAGGGGGCAGCTTCTATAATGGATGGACTATGGCTACAGGGGTCTGTTGGACATAAATGGGGGTGATAACGTGACTATAAATTTTGCAAAAGATTCTCAGTTTGTGCCTGGGTGCAGTAGACAGATAGTGTCAGTACCCAGCAAAATAGTAGAGAAGCAATGGGCCAGGGCTCTGTGGAGGAACTGGAGAATAAAGTAGGAGATGTTCAAGGTTCTGCCAAAGCAGAAGGCCTGCAGCTTTGAGCTTGGATTTCACCCCAAAAGTGTAGCATTTTAACAACAACAATCAGACTCAGCTATTAAGTTAATGTCTGTGGAAGGAAATCATGTAATCCAATGTTGATTTTGGTAATATTATTGTCGTAAAGGAAAGTTTAAGAGAAAGGGCAAGAGAGGAAAATGTGAATTCAGTTAGGAGGCTGTGTTATCTTCAAAATCTGTCTAAATCTTATCTCTTTGTAAGACTTATTTTTCCAGATTCCTATAGGGTGAACTACATTTTCCAAATCACTTGACATTTATTATCTGTTTCTGTATTATACTTTCCTAGTGAGATTGTAAACATTGAGGCAGGGGCTGGCGCTGTGGCATAGCAGATAAAGCCTCCACCTACAGTGCTGGCATCCCATATGGGCGCTGGTTCGATTCCCAACTGCTACACTTCCAATCCAGCTCTCTGCTACGGCCTGGGAAAGCAGTAGAAGATGGCCCAAGTCCTTGGGCCCCTGCACCCACATGGGGGACCTGGAGGAAGCTTCCGGCTCCTGGCTTTCGGTGCAGCTCCAGCCATTGCAGCTAACTGGGGACTGACCCAGCCGATGGAAGACCTCTCTTGCTCTCTGCCTCTCCTTCTCTCTCTGTGTAACTCTCTTTCAAATAAATAAATAAATCTTAAAAAAAAATAGCAAAGCAACAATTTGATTAATGTTGAGGCAGGGCAGGCATTGTGATGTACCACACACTATATCGGAGTACTAGTTTGAGTTCCAGCTCCTGCTAATGAGCCTGGGAAAATAGTGGATGATGTCCAAAGTGCTTGAGTGGTTGCCACCCACATAGGAGACATGAATGGAATTGCTGGCTCCTGGTTTTGGTATGGCCCAGGTCAGACTATTGGAAGCATTTGGGATGTGAAACAGAGGATATAAGATTCTTTCTCTCTCTCTCTCTCTTTCTCTGCCTTTAAAATAAATAACTGACATCATAAATAAGAGTGTCAATTGTTAAATCAACAATGGGAGTCACTATGCACCTACTCCCCATGTAGGATCTCTGTCCTTAATGCATTGTACTATAGGAATTAATGGTAAAACTACTACTCAAACAATACTTTATACTTTGTGTATCTGTGTAGGTGCAAACTGTTGAAATCTTTACTTAGTATATACTAAGTTGATCCTCTGTATATAAAGATAGTTGAAAATGAATTTTGATGAAGAATGGGATGGGAGAGGGAGTGGGAGATGGGATGGTTGTGAGTGAGAAGGAGGTTATGGGGGGAAAAGCCACTATAATCCAAAAGTTGTACTTTGGAAATTTATATTTATTAAATAAAAGTTAAAAAATAAATAAAATAAATAAATATTTAAAAATTTTTGATGCATTTCATTTCACTCATAACATTTGGTTTATAATGAATAATCAGGAAAATACATGGATGTTTTTCAGTGAAAAGTACAAGGTGGAAGCAATTCAACATGTCGTGAGCAGAGAAATGGGTGCATAAGATGTTATGTTTAGGGATATACTTATAGATATGTCCAAAGTGTAAGGTTGGTTGATTCCTGTGAAAAAGTGTCATCAGGGAAATAACTTTGAGAATCTCCAAGTCATACTCACATTCTTATGCTTACTGTTTGAAAGATGTCTTACTTTATGTCTTTTTTATTCAACGTATTTGTATTTTTATGTGATTATTGTAAATACATATAGTTGATTTGTTTTTAAAAAAGATAGCCTGATAGTCTCGAAATTGTGTTAGTGTGTTGAATCCATGTATACATAATGTAGTTATTGAAATAGTTGTATTGAAGTCCACCATCTTGGTTTTTAATTCCTATATGACCTATGTACTCTATTTCCTACTTACTTTGGGTAAATTAAATATTTTGGATACTCTATTTTGTCTCCTCCATTGGCTTTTTAGTAATTCATTTCTGTGTATATAACAGTGTGCATTTTTGTTTAAGAAATTGCTTTCTAGATTACTGTATGTATAATTGGTTTACACAGATTATTGTTAAAAAATACCAGGGTTCTGCAGAAAGTTCAAGGAAGTGCAACCTGAAAAAACAATGCATAGATTTCAGGTTTTTTGGCACACAAAAAGTTTATTTTATAATTCCATTTCCACAAACATACCCTAATATACTACA